ACGCAAACAACACTCCCTGATACATGGTACCATTGATCTCCATCGATACAACCAATGAGTTCTCTGTGCCGCTTCCATCTGTAACTATTGTAATTTTGAGAATTTTCTGACGAAACTACAATTTCCAATTTCATCTTTTTTTCAACGAAATTCATTTGAAAAATCATTCATTAAATTAAATTCATTAAATTCACAGCCAACTGATGTAAAATAATTCAATGTTCAAAGCTGGCATGTAGCAAGGTGCATCTGATACAACCAATCAAACTCTCATAAATCTAGACCAATCATTAGATTTACAAAAATTCTTTACATTCAAGTCTGAATTTGAAGTTTCCATGGAATATTTGAAAATCAAGAGAACTCGACTGAATAAATGAGACTATCTGTACAATAGTAACACTGATAGGGAAAATTTCAGTTGCATTCACTACGACATCACGCCAAAAATAACCAGAGATAAGGTGATAGCAACAACAAATGATAATCTGGACAAATAACCTCGACTGGTGATTTTCAGATGTGCAGACGGTAAGTTGGCGAATAAACGATCGTTTATGAGATTATTACAACTGATACTAGTTGACGTTTCATCGTTAGTGTTGTTATGATTACTATTGGCATTATTCATAGTGTTGCTGCTGATAGCATGGTTATTAGTGTTAGCATTGACACTACTGCTGAACGAGGAGGTTCTCAATCTTTTGGTTGGACATATAACGTCGGATGAGTCGACTGATGAGGTGGATTCGCGTCCTGAGATGGACGTTTGACGTTGCAGTGATGGGTGTGTTACGCTACTCTGACGACTCACTGCCTCGACAGCCGCTCTGAAAATTTTAATCTTTGATGTGAATCATTTTTCAATTGATCAATCGAATTCGGAGTTATTCGCCAAACTCAGAACTTTATACTTGTTGAGTTTGATTATTATAGAACAAGTAAATGCATTCTTTGGATCGGAACTACTGCAATTTCATGACTTTTCTTTCTTACTTTCAACAAATTACAAATTCTTGAAAGTTATCATGATGACCTTTGAACTCGTTCAAATTGCCTCTGTTGCGCCTCAAGTGCGGCCAGTTGCTCGACTCGATAGGCTGCCACCAAAGCGGCTTGTTGCGATGCTGATGGCGTTAGACCCGAGTCATCTTCAAGTCCTGAATATGGCCAATTATCAGTCAGTGATAAGCAATCAGTAACGATACGGATAAGAATGATACTACCAATCATGATCATGTTCATGATAACATCAATAATAATCTCAACTATGACAATAACAATAATAATAAGGAAACAAAAAAAGTTACCATTTCTAAGTGCAATTGAACCATTCAAATGCTTATTAATAATACTGCTCCCACTACTGTTCAGCGAGTAATTCAGTTGTGTGAAATTCGTCGCTGATGCCGTGTTTCTACGTCCTTCACGTCGATTCCCGTCAATTGCTTGTTGCAGATCCGATGGACTCGATAAACCTTCTCGCTCACATTCATAATCATACAGAAATTTTTGGTACCTGAAAAAAACGGACGATAGGGATAACAACCGCAAAAAAATGATACTGATAAGGAAAGCAATGACAATTGTGATAGCATTAATGATAACTCATAAAAATGCTAACACTCACTCCAAAACTGATGCAAAACTAACCACTACTATTCCTGTGACTCTTTATGCTAGAATCGCTACACACTAGCAGTTTTATTCTTAATTATCATT